ATCTTTTCATTGGGAATAATTCCTGAAGAGCACCATCTGTAGCTGTTCAAGTACAGCTGAAATACAAGAGAAGGTAGAACAATATTGTAACACATGATAATACTGAGATAAAAAACACATACCACAAAGAGTTTTCAGTGTAATATTTTCAGTCTAAGGAAATTACTCATCCTTGTTTCTGAACTTCACAGCCTCATCAACAATATGTTGTTCCATGATTGAGACTGCAGAGATTCTTAAATATAAGAGATTTAATAGTACATGGAAGGATCTGCAGGCTGAGATACTAACCTAACAATGGCTTGACAATAGGACATCTCCAACATAAACAAGAAAGAAAGCAGCAGCTCTTCATCCCCATACTGATAGAAATGGTAGAACAGTAAGGACACATTCAGTGTACAAATCCAAGAAAGGTGAAAGGAGATCCTTTTTTGGAGATATTCAACCCTTGTAAATGCAAAGATGGGAGCCAGAGTGCTGACATGGTGTGAGCATTGGACTATGACCTTTGAGGCCAGGGTCTGAATCCCAGCCTCATGGAAACCTACCGGGTGACCTTGGGCAAGTCACACACTCTCAGACTCAGAGGAAGGCAATGGCAAAATTCTCTCTGACCAAATCTTGTCAAGAAGACTCCATAATAGGGTAGTCTTAGGATCATCATATGTTGCAAATGACTAGAATACACACAACAAAATGTGAGGATGAAGGTTTCACATGCTTTGGTATCCAATGCCTTCTTGGAGTTACCATGGGAAGAGTGGGAAATCTTTGGTCATCCCAAAAGTTTGAATTTCAACTCTCAGAAGCCACCAGCAGCCAGTGGTGAGGGATTACTGTCCAAATCATCCAGAAAACTAATGGTTTCCCCTAAATTTTGTACATGGCAGCTGGTCACTATTCTTAAAAATCCCTGCTGCCAGATCCTGGGACAAACACATACTCTCTCCTCTCTAGTTTTTTTGTGGGTTTTTTTCGGGCTGTGTGGCCATGTTCTAGAAGAGTTTCTTTCTGACGTTTCGCCAGCATCTGTGGCTAGCATCTTCAGAGAAATCTACTCTGAAGATGCTAGCCACAGATGCTGGTGAAACGTCAGAAAGAAACTCTTCTAGAACATGGCCACACAGCCCGAAAAAACCCACAAAAAAACTATGGATGCCGGCCATGAAAGCCTACGACTTCTCTCCTCTCTCTTTTGTTCACATCAGAAAACGGTACCCATAATCCCAAAGCACAATGATAAATGATTATGGTCCAAAACACACTGCAGAAATAATCCAGTTTGAGATCATTTTAGCTGCCCTGGCTTAGTGCTAGGGAACCCTGGGAACTGTAGTTTATTGTGGCACCAGCACTCTGAAAGAAGAGGTTAAATATCTCACAAAACTACAGTTCCCAGAATTCCCTAGCATTGAGCCAGGATAGTTAAGGCAGTCTCAAACTGAATTATTTCTGCAGTGTGTTTTGGAGCTATGTTAGCTGGGTATGAGAGTTATAATCCAATACATGTGGATGATACCTTTGTTAGGTTTAAATGGGATATAGAGTCAATGTTAAAATGTTGAAATGTAAAAGATGTGTGTCTGTATTTTTCCATGCTGTGGAAAGTTGTTTTTGTGAGAGTTGGATTCACAGTTATCAGCCCCAGGTGTGATTTAGCCAAAACAAGAAGCTAACAAGACTCCATTCTATGGGAAAAAGGTTTTGTTTATATTAAGGTTTTTGTCAACACAATATTGTTATGAGAAATGTAGTCACATGATTTGTTATTGTAATTAAGGGTTGGACTAGAACACGTCATGTATTATCATCCAATCAGCTTGTATAGGCGACACCCAGAAGGGTGGAGATTTGAAGGGCTGAGGGCTGGGAATCTAAAAGTTCTTCACTTGCTTTTTGACTTTTGAACTGTAATGAGCTAATAAAACCATTCTTTTGATGATGCTACTAACACATTTTGAATCATGTAGCAAATAGCTTTTATTCCTGCTTAGCCAGCTTTGGCTAAAGTGAAGTTATTATTATTATTATTATTTGTTTTTGCTTTTGTCTTTATACAATAAAGAAGCTTGCTGAAAGTTCCAGGTTTGGATGTTTGGTTTTAAAGGACTGTTTTTCAACACTCCTACAACATTATTTTAACAACCTTCTACTTGCAATTGCTACCTGCCTCACAATTCCATTTTTAAGATATACAGGTTATGCAGGAATAAAGTTAACTAGATACCTCTCAAGTATACATTCATTTTGAAAACTGAATAGGCAATTTCACACATTCTGAAAACATGTAACATACAAGAAGATAAATACCTTATTTTCTGGCATATAAGATGACTGGGTGTATAAGACGACCCCAACTTTTCCAGTAAAAACATAAAGTTTGGGATATACTTGCCGTATAAGACTACCCCTCTTCCAGTGCATACCAAATAAAAATTGAAAAACAATCAGATTTGATTTCAATATGGTAATTTTAATTCAAATGCTTATGACATGCAGGTACTTAGCAGGAACACTATCACTTATAAACATAAGGCTGTTTGTCATCAAACATGTAAACATAAAACAGTGAAACATTTAGCCTTCCCTGTCAGAGAACTCTGCTGCCACAACAAACTACAGCTCCCATTTTCCCCAGCATTTATTTCTGCAGTGTGTTTTAGACCTTACTTTTTAAAAAATAGTCCAGATTTAAATGCTGTTTTAAAATTTATTTCCATCTCCCAGCTATGAGATGGTAGGGGGGAAATAAGAAAGTGTTGGGGGAAAGGACTGCCAATATACTAGGTGATGCATTCTGGGTTATGTACAATTTGCGGCCAAGTAAGTGGCCTGGGCATGTCACACATTCTCAGCCTCAGAGGATAATAATGGCAACCCCCATTTGAAGAAAAATGCCACGAAAACCCCATGATAAGGTTGCCTTAGGGTCGCCATAAGTCGGAAAGGACTTGAAGACCCACAAGAACAACAAAAAAGTCTGCAATTGTTTCAGTGTTGGACTACCACTCTGGAGACCTGAGTTTGATTCCCCACTCTGCCATGAAACCCACTGGATGAACTTCTCAGCCTCAGGGGAAGACAAAGGCAAACCTCCTCTGAACCAGTCTTGCCAAGAAAACCCCAGAATGGGATTGCCTTAGGGTTCCTCTCTTCTTCCTCATCCCGCCTCGCGACCCTCTCTTCCTCCTCCTTCTCCTCCTCCTCCTCTCACCTGGCCTTCCTCTCCTCCTCCTCCCCCTCAATGTGCTCACTGTGCTGGGCAAGACCCTCAGCAAGATCAGGAAGGAGGAGGTGGCGGTAGTGGCTTGGCCTGGCCTGGGAGAAGAGGAGGAGGAAGTGGGCCAAGGCGCAGTGTTTCTGGGAGGGCCTCCCTTCCTCCTTTGCCACCCTGGGCCAGTGTGCCCTCCTCTGCCCTGCCCGTCCCACCTCTCCATGGGCACCTCAGCCTGCTTCCTCCTCTTCCCCCAAGCCAAGCCACCACCATCGCTGCCGCCTCCTCCTCTCTGATCTTGCCGCGTTGAGGGGGAGGAAGAGGGAGACAAAATGGCAGCCAGGCTGAGGGGGGTCCTCTCACCTAGCCTCTCTTCCCGGCATATAAGATGACCCCTGACTTTTGAGAAGATTTTCCGGGGTTATAAAGTTGTCTTATACACTAGAAAATACGGTATGCATTAAGTCTATGAAAGCTCATGCTGCCAACTTCTTTCTTTAGTTAATCTGAAAGGCGCTACAAGATCTCTCTACATACTGGTTCCACAGACTAACATGGCTATATCTTTGAATTCCCTCATTCACAGGATCACCATAAGTCAAAATGGACTTGATTGCAATCAAGAACAAATGAATGCAGTCGGATCACTTAACATCCTTCCCCAGAACAAATCGTTGTTATGGTGTGCCTCCAAATCATTTTTGATTTATGGCAACCCTATCATAGAGTTTTCTTTGTAAGATTTGTTCATGGGGGGGTATGCCATTGCCAACCTCTGGGGCTGAGACAGTGTAACAACTTGCCCTGGCCTCCAGAGTTGCAGTCCAACACTTAAACAACTATGCCACGCTGGGCATCTATTATTTGATTGACAAGAGTGGAGGCTGAAACGTGTGTATATTCTTTTTCAATATCAATCATTTCATTTTAATTTGAAGACACAGCTGTGTCAGTCAGGAAAACCAGTATGCAAAGGGATCTTGTAGCACAGCAATGTCCAAACTTTGATCCTCCAGGTGTTTTGGACTTCAGCTCCCAGAAGTCCCAACCAGCTTGATCAAGTCAGGAATTCTGGGAGTTGAAGTCCAAAACACCTGGTGGACCAAAGTTTGGGCATCACGGTTTGTAGCACATTTGAGAGTAAGGGCCTTTGCAGACTGCCAGAAATTTAGTGCAAACTGAGCCCACTTTAACTGCCCTGACTCAGTGCTAGGGAATCAGGGGAACTGTAGTTTATTGTGATAGAAGAGCTCTTTGACAGAGAAGGTTCAATGTCTCAGAAAAAAATACAATTCCCCTGATTCCCTAGCACTGAGCCAGGGCAGTTAAAGTAGACTCCGTTTGCACTATTTCTAGCAGTCTGCAAAGGCCCTTGAGACTATTTTGTTATAGTTGTTGCATGTCTTCATAATAATAATAATAATAATAATAATATTTATTTATATCCCGCCCCTCTGCAGAGCAATCGGGGTGGCTTACAACATTAAAATTTCCATACATACAACTCTTCAAGTTGCATCCCACTTATGGTGGCCCTAAGGCAAACCCATCATAAGGTTTTCTTGGCAAGATTTCTTCAGAGGAGGTTTGCCATTGCCATCCTCTGAGTCTGAGAGAGTGTGACTTGCCCAAGGTCATCCAGTGGGTTTTATTGCTGAGTGGGGATTTAAAACCTGGTGTACAGAGTCCAACACTCAAACCTCTATGCCACACACATTACTATAATATCTTAGACCAGCAAACAGGATTCTGGCATTTGGCTTACATTTCAGTGATAATGAAAGCCAGTGTGGTATAGTGGTTTGAGCATTGGACTATGACTCCGGAGACCAGGGTTTGAATCCCTGCTCAGCCATGAATCCCACTGAGTGACCTTGGGCAACAAGTCACACTCTCTCAGCCTCCTCAGGGGAATGCAATGGCAAACATTTCCTGAACAAATTTTGCCCAGAAAACCCCATAAGTCAGGAATGACTTGAAGAGGCACACAACGCACCAAATAAACAATATTCAATTGAATATGGAAAAGAGATTGGTTCCACTCAGAAACGTGACCCGCTGTAAGGGAGGTTTTCCAGGCAACTCTGCAAGCAGAAAGGCTGCCATTTTAAACAAGCCCTTGGGTCCTTTAAAGAACCACCACAATATAAGGATTCCCAAACTCTGGCTTTCCAGGTTTTTTTGGGACTTCAGCTCCCAGGATCCCAGACCATTGGCCAAGATGGCTAAGGCTTCTAGGAACTGAAGTCCAAAACTCCTGGAGAACCCAAGTTTGGGAATCACTGATAAGCCTTGGGGACCCTCTGAGGAAAAACTTCCCCACAGAAGGGCTTCTCAAAGGCCTCAACGGCCTTCCTCCCTCCGTTCCCTTGGAAACAGTCCCCCTCCCCTTTGGCTGCCCTGAGTACCTGTTGCCGGGGCAACGCCGAGCCCAACAGCCGCCTCCACCGCAACATGACGCCGCGCGCAGGAGCCCGGCTCAAAGTCACACCGTCCACAGCTCCTGAAAGCTTCACTTCCGCCTTGAGCCGGTGAGCACTTCCGGGTCACATATCTACAAACGTCCCTCCTAGAGACGCAGCTGCCGCGCCTCCTTTGGCGAGGAGGAGGTACTGCTCTGAGGAAACAGGAAGGGGTCGATGGAGAGTGACCAGGCGTCCTCCTTTTCCAGGCCTGTCCTACATCTTCAGCCTTCTCCTGTCCAGGAGGGATTCCAAAATGGCCTCCATTTGGAGCATGACTTAAGCATTAATTTACATTTGTATGAGGGCTTTTAGATTTTATTTTGTAATGTCCTCCATTTTTTCCTTGGATGCCCTACATTTTGTGGTGCCTTGCCCTCAAGATGACCAGGCGTCCTCCATTTCAGCCTTCTTGTCCAGGAGGAATTCCCAAAGGGTCCTCCATTTGGAGCATGACTAAGCATGAATTTATATTGATATGAGTGTTTTTAGCTTTTATTTGGGAATGTCCTTCATTTCTTAAAAAAAACAAATTACCTTTATTGAAAATTTTCATTAAAAACAGCAATACTTTCCCGCCAATATGTGTCATTTCCCATTGCAACGTATTCTAAATTTACACTTCCACTCGATAGGTTCTAGTGCAGACCTGCACAACTGTCCTACATTTTGTGGTGCCTTGTCCTCAGGGTGACCAGGCATCCTTCTTTTCCAGGACCTGTCCTACACTTCACCCTTCTGTTGAGGAGGAATTCCAAAATGCCCTCCATGACTAAGAAGCATGAATTTACATTTCCATGGGCGTATTTAGCTTTTATTTGTGAATGTCCTCCATTTCTCTTGAATGCCCTACTTTTTGTGGTGACTTGGCCTCCTTTGGGGTTAGGACAGGGGTAGGCAACCTACAGCCCGGGGACCAGATGCGGACCCCCGAGGCCTTTGGACCGGCCCCAGGCCGGTCCTGCCGCCGCCACCGCCGCTGCTGCTTCCCGCCATGATGATATTGTTATTGTTATTACTTGTTCTTGGGGTTTTCTTGGCAAAATCTCCACAGAGGTTTTGCCATCATGGCTTTTCTGGGGCTGAGAGAGTACATGCTTTTTTTGCTTCGGCCCCCCAATTATCTAAGGGACAGCAACCCGGCCCCCAACTCAAAAAGGGTTAGGACATCTGGTTGATGGCAGTTAAATTCATCTGCTTTCTCTCCCCCCCCCCCCCCCCCCCCCCGCCGACTCCCTTTTGTGGCAATGCCACCCAGAACTCTTCTCTGTTTCACTTTAGAATTCCTTTACAAACTGGAAAATGTATTTTTATTTATTTATTTATAGGATTTATATCCCAAAATGGGATTCAAAGCAGCTGACAATAATTTCAAAAGATAAAACTGAAACATTAATTACAAGATTACCGTAGGCCCTCCCCATTTGCTGGGTTTCGGGGTGCAGGGCCTCTCATGAAAGTGGAAAAAACTCATATTAAAACAACACTTTTTAAACCTGAGAAAACACCTCTCTAGGAATCTCTGGTCCTCCAGTGTAACTCTTAAGGTCAACCTCTGACAGAGATTGACTAGAATTGCACTGGAGGGCCTAACTCTATGGTCAACTCTGACAAAGATTGGCTGGAATTGCACTGGAGGATCTACAAATGTCCAGAGACATCTCTTTAGGAATTGCTAGGTCCTCTGGTGCAATTTTTGGTAAAAGTTGACCATAGAGCTGTCACCCTATCCTCCGTAAGGGTGCAGTCTCAACTGGACTCGCAGGCAATGCCACACGTTTCTTGGTCCAAGAGAGTTGCTTTATTTTAACCAAACTAAAAACTTGAGCACTCAAGGGAGCCATTGCCAGGACCCAGGTATAAGTGGGCAGAACTAAACTTCAAATATCCTTTGATGTGGACAACCAGACTACTGGGACGGAGGAAAAGGGGTTTGATCAGAGGACTTTAAAGTACTGGTTTGGTGGGAAAGACTCAGAGTTGTTTCTAAAAGGATTGTTGTGGCAAAGTATCTTGATTCCAGAAGCTATAGTGAATTTACTTAAAAATGTTTTCCTGGTTCTTCAAATTTCATGCTACCAAGCATGCCACTACGAAAGACAGAATGTAGCAGAAAGAAAGGCCACATGCTAGATGGATAGATTCAATCAAGGAGGTCATGGGTCTGAATTTGCAGGAGCTGAGCAGAACAGTGTTGGACAGGGGGTCCTGGGGGTGTCTCATCCACAAGGTCACCAGAAACTGAGGTCTTCTTGAGAGCAGTTAACAACGATGATTGATGATGATGTAGTTTTCCGAGACACCAGCACACTTTGGCCAAAAAGGCTAAAGACGTGGAAAACCTACAAATCCCAGGATTCCTTAGAATGGAGCTACAGCACTTAAAAGTGGTAGAAATTACATTATTTCTACAGTGTAGATCAGGGGTAGGCAACCTTACCCCTTTAAGAGCCGAGGGACTTCAGCTCCCAGAATCCCAGGAGCTTTTGGCCAACATGGGACTATTGGCCAACATGGCTGAGGCTTCTGGGAGCTGAAGTCCTTCAGCCCTTAAAGGGAAAAGGTTGCCTACCCCTGGTGTAGATGCACCCTCTGGAGTCCCCTTTTCATCCATACAATGGACTGAGGGAGTGCTAGTCAGGCCAATATGGGTGGCCAGCAATTATTTTTTTCCAGGGTGCCATGGACTGGCATTAAATGTTGTGCCCATTGGGTGCAATTGCTTCTTTTAGTACTGGAAACCAGGACCAGCCAGCAATAAATAGTTCAGGGACCACAACCAGTCAAGGGGCCACAACTTTGAGTAGTACTTTGAGTAGTACAAGGGTACTCTGAAATGCTTTACTGGATCAAGTACAGTACAGTACACAAAAATCTGCCTTCCAGGATGATCCCATTTTGCTACTAGATCCCATGCTAAATGAAGGTCAGCACCCCAGCCATAAATTAAACTTAAATTAATTTGCTTATCAGTTTAAAGCTTCTATTCTATATACATTTATTCAGGAATAATCTTCACTAAACAGTGGGACTATGGATGTCTGTTAGAAGAGTTATGGATATAAAGTATATTCCTGTCTTAAGAAAGTGTTCTGTAAGTCAGAATTGCATCAACAGAGAACAGGCTAATAGTTTTAGTATCTATAGGTGATAATATTGCTTTAGGCTATAATTTTAGTATCAAATTATAAATCAGGAGCATAAGCAATAACCAGGAAAATTCTGTCAGGAAAAAAACTGGAGTGGACAAGGACTGAGTTCTTGCAAAGTATGTCATTCATATTTGAGTTGCAAGTATTTGTATGACTTTCTTTGACAGAAAATCACAAAACTATTATGCCTGGTTCTGACATTCAACCCTTGCCTTAATAACATAGTCCCTGTGATCACGAGGCGAGAGCAATTTAGGCTCCCATCTTTAAAAGGTATGAGAAAAGCATACTTTCTATTTGAATAGTGGAAAGGAAACAGACTGCTTCAACCAATCAGAAGTAACAGTGATGTCCTTGCAAACCCTGTTCATTTTTATTCACAGATGTTGGTGGAGGGTCTTTAAGATTGAGCATTGTGTGCTGTTAGGTCAAATCAAGAACTGAATCCCAAATTCACCTCCAGAGATGGTGTTTCCTCTTCAATGTACCAAACTAAAAACCTGTAAATTGAGGGGCACACCTAGCTTGCAAAGGTGAGTGGTCTCCAGAGGTGTAGTTAGAGCAGCACTGTGAATTCTGCCCTACTATACATTATTACAGATGAATGGGTAACTTTAAAATGTTTTTCCTCAAACTATTCTGAGAAAAAATTCAGATATATATATTGTGGGAGCATAGCATTAACTAAGCTATTCATACCAGTCAAGGGACTCATCAGTCACACCACTCTATGTTTGGCACCTCTAAATTAAGAATTTAAAGGGTGGAGAGAATGTGGAATGCTACAAAGCGCATGCAGCACAGACAGAGCTTTTGAGCATCTTTCTTCAGGGGGAGGGGTCCTTTTCTAACAAACTTGTGCCAGCAGCTCAGTTCCAGCTGGAAAAAAATAGTTCATGACTTTAAAAGACATTGCTGTAAAAACAGTGTTCACTTCATGCTAGGCATTATGTTTTGCAGGTATTTTATTTTAAAATGGTATGCACTTCCAGTATGGGTAACACACCTGATCAGCTCATTGCTTAAGCTTTAAGACTTAAAGAATAGTGAATTAAGAGCTGAAACAGACTGCAGAAATAATCCATCTTGAAACCACTTTAACTGCCCAGTTTCAGTGCTAGAGAATTTTGGGAATTGTAGTTTGTTGTAGCTCCACAGGTTTCTAAGAGAGAAGGCTAAATGCCTAAAAAACTACAGTTCCTACAATTCCTTGCATTGAGCCAGGGTAGTTAAAGCAGTTT